GCTTTTTTTCTTCTTGTGGGATCATATCAAAACTGTAATTTATGCATACAAACATAATTCTTTTAACAAATTAGATAACCTAGATAAAATGGGCAATATTCTTGAGCACAACTGACTAGAAAAGAAATGGAAACTATGAATGAATTCCTAAGCAAAGAGATTATGTCAGTAATCCAAAAACTTCACAAAAAGAAAAATTCAGGAACATATGTGTTTCACTGATGTATTCTACTAAACATTTAAAGAAGAACCAACACCAGTACATCACACATTTTTCTAAAGTTAAAGAGAGGATACTCCTAACCCATTCCATGAGTCTAGTATTACCTTAGTACCAAGACAAACAAACAGAAAAGAAATCACACAAAAAATGAAGCTACAGACCAATATCTCTTGTGAATGTAGATGCAAAAATCCTTAAAAAATACTATCAAAGTGCCTGGCTGTTATGCCTCAGTGGTTGAGCATTGACCTATGAATCAGGAGGTCATGGTTCAATTCCCAGTCAGGTTGTAGGCTTGATCCTCAGTGTGTGGTGTGCAGAAAGCAGCTGATCAATGATTCTCTCTCATTAATGACGTTTCTGTCTCTCTCTCCTTCTCAATTCCTCTTTTAAATCAATAAAAAAAATACTATCACAGAGAATTCAGCAACATATGAGAAGAATGTATAGTATGACCAGGCGGGATTTATCCCAGGATTGCAAACTTGGTTCAACACATGAAAATCAATACACCACATTAATAGAAGTAAAGGATAAAAATCACATGATTGTATCATTAGAAAAAGAAAAACATTTGGCAAAATCCAACACCCTTTATGAAAAAAACAATCAACATATTAGAAATAGAGGGAACATCCACCATGTGATAAAAAAAACCCACATCTAATCTATGAAAAACCCACATCTAATATCATAAGTAATGGTGAAAGACTGAAAGCTTTTTCCCTAAGATCAGAAAAAAGTCATGAATTTTGCTCTTGTCAACTTTACTAAACATTGAATTGGAAGTTATGGCCAGGGTACTTAGGCAAGGAAAAGAAATAAAAGGCATCAAGATTGGAAAAGAAGGAATACTGTATTTGCTGATAACACGATATTTTATAGGTAAAATCTTAAGAAAAAAAGTGGCCATGATGGTAGAAATAGAGGATACACATTTACTTGACAACAGGGACTCACCCTCACTAAGGCCATTCTTGCTAACACCACTACTGAGGGCCTACTATGTCAGCAACAGAGACCAATGTTGAAAACACAGGTATTTACATTACGATTCATTAACAGTAGCAAAATTACAGTTATGAAGTAGCAACGAAAATAATTTTATGGTTGGGGGTCACCACAACATGAGGAACTGTATTAAAGGGCCATGACACTAGAAAGGTTGAGAACCACTGCCCTAGGCAGACTCATTCAGAGCCAGGTCCTCTTTCTGGTACCGACTTCCAAGGACTGAATTGTGTCCCCCTACCCCTCAAATTCATATTTTGAAACCTTACCCTCAAATGAATCTATATTTGGAGATTGAGCCTTTAGGGAGAAAATTAGGGTTAAATGAGGTCATAAAGTTAGGGCCCTAATTCAATAGGGCTAGTGTACTCATGAGAGGAGGAAGAGACACGAGAGCTCGCTCTCTCCAGAGGCAAATGGAGAATGGGTCATGTTAGGACAAAGAGGAAAGGTAACTATCTGAAAGTCTAAAAGGGTGACCACACCAGAAACCAACTCTGATAGCACTTTGATCTTGGACTTTCAGCCTCCAGAACAGTGAGAAAATAAATGTCTGTTGTTTATGCCTCGAGACCCTGGTATTTTGTTATGGTCGTGCTAGCAAACTAAAACAATGACATTGAAATTTCTGAATTCACATATTAAATGAGTGACAAATGAGCAGTGCTAACTGTTATTCTTGAATACCAGTTACTGGTTGTATTCAGGTCTGGAATCTGAGGGGGCAGAGTGCTGGGCGTGTCGAAGCAGGGATTCATATGCCATCAGAACTGCTGTCCTCTTGTTTCCCTCGAATAATTTTTTCAACAAAATTTATTGAGGCCCTCAGCTGACCCACAGGTGAGCAGGGATTAGTTAGTTCCAGTGAGGAGCTCTCTCTGTTATGTTTTTCTGCTTTTAGACCCGTTCCAGAGGATTTTGTAAGAATAAGAATTTGGTTGATTAAGTCACCAGATTCTAGACTAATGTGACCTATTGTCAGCTGTGGCCTTTTTCTGCACTAGCTGAACATCACTGCTGTGTTGTCAATGGAAATAGGGTGTCCACTGGTGAAAGTGGGGGATCCTTTTTCCTACTGGGTGCTGGGGAACGGGTGCTTATGATATCTTGAGAAAAATAATTTTCTAAGACTCGAACAGGAGAATGAGTGATTTTTATTTGCATGGAATTACATCCTTCGGTTGTATATATATAAAAATATATAATCAATATATTTTTATTATTGTAAATATAAAACTATATAACCAATATATTTTATTGATTTCAGAGAGGAAGGGAGAGGGAGAAAGAAATATTAATAATGGAGAGAATCATCAATTGGCTGCCTCCTGCATGCTCCCTACTTGGGATTGAATCTGTAACCCAGACATGTACCCTTGCCAGGCATCAAACCATGACCTGGTTCTTAGGTCTATACCAGCTGGACCATTCCTTGGGTTCTTCAGTCCCATTTCCCTTAACATGTTAAAAGCCCAGTCAGTCACCGGTGACTGACACTATACTTTCCGTCCAGAAGACAAAACAGGCTGGGTGCTTAACGAGTTACTCCAGTCCTGGAAGAGGTGCAGCTGAGGATTCAGCAGAGCTAGAAGCAAGGCCAGTGTCCAAAGTTTCTGTTCCACAGCGGAGCTTGGTCCAGTGTAGCATTAGTCTAGTCACAGCCCACCAGTCCATTGTGTGGGCAAATGCAGGGGAGCATGCCCCCTGCAACAAGAGAGCCAGAGCCAAGTGGCACATGAGAGGGAACTCCTTTGTTCAGGCACTTAAGTATCGAATCTTCCCCAGCTTGCAGTTGGCATGGCTATTCTGACCAAGGACCTATTCCCAGGTGTGACTGACAGACAAGCACCCCCCCCCCCCCCATATCACCCAGACTTTATTGGGCTTGCGTCTAAATTGCAACTTTCCTTTGCTCTGTTTTGTTATTAATAACTGGGTTTATTAAAATATCAACTGGAGTCCTGATCATTCCACGTCTGGACTTATGTTGCCCGAAGCCCTTTCCCACATGTCTTCCAAATCCCCTTCCATGTCTTCTTCCTTCCGAGTCCCTGCCCCGAAGGGCTGGATCATACCCCAGAGCTGCCTTTCAAAACTTAGTTCATAACAAGCATGCATACATTTATTCATCTTAGCTGATATTTGAGAGATCTCAGAGAGGAGATTGGGGAGTCATGGGAGGTGAGGTCTAGCTTGGATCTTTTCGCCCACTTCTGTGGTCTCTTTTTTGCTTATCTTTCTTTCCAGAATTTCCCAAGAATTCTTTCCCCCCCAGTGCCTGGAAGAATTCATTTGGGTTCCAAGGCTCCAACTTGCAGAAACCTTAATTCATAAGCTGCTTGCAGAACAAAGAGACTTCAATTTTAAGGCAATTTTGCTTATACATTTATCATACATATATATTAGATATGATCTAACAAAATAATAGAGTAATATGAAAATTAACCATCACTCTGCTATACAAGCTATGTCCACCAGCCAATCAGGGCCAGTATGCAAATTAACCCAACCAAGATGGCAGTTAATTTGCATATCAAGATGGCTTAGAAAGAAGCCAAGCTGCAGAGAAGGGAGGGAAGCAGGTGGGGCAGCGACCACAGCAGGAAGCCCTATTGCAGGAATCTTCCTGCAACGGGCCACTAGCATGCATGATATATGCACAGCAACAAGAAATATTATATGTGCATATGTATGTATAGTATACATACATATTATAAATATATTTATAAATAGCAAGCATCTCGTTTTTCTTCTATTCACTACGTTACAAACAATAAGGCAATTTAGAGATAAAAGGAACTGCTAAGTTTGGAGATAAAGAGAACTGTCAGAGTCTGGGTCTCCTCAAGATTCACCCATTGCCTTGTGAAAAGCTGTTTGGAATTGATCCCAAAATTTATTTCTTATGTTTAGGGTGTTGAGAATCTGGAAGTAGGAATTATGTACCTTTAGAAACATCAGGGTAAATGGCTTTTCTAAGATCATGATTAAATGAGAGAGAGAGAGAGAGAAAGAGAGAGAGAGAGAGAACTTTTATTAGTTCAATCGAATTTCCTAGTTTACCCCTGTGAAGGTCAAGTCAGATTTGATTTCTATGTATGTTGACCCTAAATGAACTACAAGGAAAACGTAAAAATGAACGAAGAGTAGTCATGCTGAGGAGCAGCGATTATTTTAAGGATGCCACGCGTTTGGAACACGCTTTACTTCTGGAAAGCTTTGCCCTAGTGCCTTAGAGGGGCGCAGGAAGAGGGCTGGGCGGTGTTCCCAGCAGCGACTTTTTGGGGCGCTCCGCCTCCCCTCTAAACTCCGCGCCAGGCGCAGCGGCAGCCCGTGCGGCTCCAGAGCTTCCAGCGCGTCCCTGGCCCCGTCCCCCGCCAGCCGCCCCCGCCCTCTCCCGCCGCCGCCGCCCCCGCCCCGCCGCGAGGGGCCGGGCAGGAGGCGGGGGTCGGCCCGCCCCGCGCCTCTTTTAAAGCGTCCGGTCCCGGCGCGGCCGGGCTGGTGAGCCTGGCGGCCGGGAAGCGGCGTGCGGAGCTCGGGGAGCCAGAGACGGGGCCAGGAACCGGGCCAGTGCCCAGAACTGCCTTTCCCTGTCCGGCAGGCGCTCCTAGTTCCCCGACGCCCCCTGCGCCCCGCGGTGGCCCACCCCACTCCGCCCTGCGGGTCCCGGGGGCCTGGCCATGCGCCCAAGCTAGTGCGCCCGGGCCGCCCCGCCGCCGCCGGCATGGGCATGGGCATGGGCATGGGCATGGGCATGGGGAAGGGCATGGGCGTGCTGCGCCCGCTGCTGCTCGCCGCGCTCTGCCTGGCCGGCCGGCTCCCTCCCGCCCGCGGCTGTCAGCTGCCGTCGGAGTGGAGGCCGCTGAGCGAGGGCTGCCGCGCCGAGCTGGCCGAGATCATCGTGTACGCCAAGGTGCTGGCGCTGCACCGGGAGGTGCCCGGCCTCTACAACTACCTGCCCTGGCAGTACGAGGCTGCGGCGGGGCTCTTCTACTCCGCCGAGATCGAGATGCTGTGCGACCAGGCGTGGGGCAGCATGCTCGAGGTCCCCGCAGGCTCCAGGCTCAACCTCACCGGCCTGGGCTACTTCTCCTGTCACTCCCACACGGTGGTCCAGGACTACTCCTATTTCTTCTTCCTCAGGTGAGCCCGGCGCCTCGAACCCTCACCGCCTCCTGTGCACAGCTGTGTGACCTCCCGAGGTCACAGTTATCTGGGGCCAGGTCAGGACTCCCACAGAATCCTGTCCCTGCCATAGGAGAATATGCCTTGGAGTCCTCCCTTTATTCCTTATTCGACGTCTCTATAAAGATACCAAGTATCTCTGGCTCAGGGTGGTTATTAAACGAGTGGTTTTTGTTCTTCATGCAAAGAAGATGTTTCAGGCAAATGCTCAATTCTTCATTTGAGTCAACTTAAAAAAAAAACACCCAACCAAAACAATCAAAAACGGGATTCAGTGGGAGTGTCTTGGGCTGATGAGGAAGAAAAAGGAAAACCTTGAAATCAGACTGTTGGAATTTTGGTTCTGCTTCTCCTGATTTTGTGCGAGTTACTGACCTCAGAACCTCAATATTCCCACGTTAGTAATGTGAAAGGCAAGGCTGATTGAGACTAAAATGGAGTAACTGCTGGAAACACCTGGTGCAGGTTAGTTGCAGGGGTATTGCACTCTCTTCTCCCCACCTGCTTGACTGTCAGGAAGTGAATGGTGCGGAATGAAGACCAGCTGTCCTAGTTTCTCTCATATTCATCGGGGTCAGTCTCATGTCAGCTGCCGACAGACCTCAATGCCAAGCTATTCAAAATAGCCAAGGTTTAGGGGGGTGGGCTTCTGGGCGCAAGACCCCAATTCACCTCATCTTTGAAGAGGATGGAGGTGAATCAGGTAGGAGGTCCTCTCTGATTGGAGACACCTGGAATCTTGTAATGTTCCATGAAAGTTGGCCCGGGGTCCAGATGGAGCATGTGCGTAAGAATTCAGTCAAGGGCTTCCACTGAAGTCTGAAACTGGAGAGCAGCAGGTGGAACCCTAAGTGCATTGGTTGTTTCTGATTGAAACAGGAGAGTGATACAGAGCAACGGACAGAAACATCAAAATGAAATCTAACATCTATAACCCGAGAGTGAGTTATCCAAAGTTGTACTGGTTGGTACTGGTTCTGATCTGTCCCATGTGTCATGTAGCAATAGAGATATTTGAATGACTGAGATCTGGGTCTGCAAATTCACTTTGGGCTTTTGAGATTTATCTGAGACGGAAAACAGTAAGTTCCACAGAGGGCGTCCATAAGCCCATGGCAACACATGTTTTCCATATTGGAGCCAGAACATCTAAGTTTAGAATACATGCGTGCTTTGTGTTGGCTTGAGTGATTTAGCTAGACTCAATTGATTTTTTTTTTCCTTTTCTCATTGCTGGGGAAGTATAGTTTCTAAATAAGGTCAGTGAGGACTGAGACTGTACCTTTCTTACACAGGAAAGCTTAACTCAGGTTTTTCATATTTTTATTTAGGAAAGTCACTGGGAATCCATCTATAAAACTACACAACAACAAAACATTTTTTTCCCCCAAAGGAAAAAGCCAGAGTACTTGAGTAGATATTGTTTGTTTGTTCTTCCCCCAACTTTATCATGAAAACAGTTTTGACCACTGGCTCTATGGTGGTCAGCCAACTCTTTCATCTTTTGCTCTGACATATTTACAAAGAGTTAGGGCAGAAATACAGAGGCAGTCAGTAGTCTGATAGGATCTCCATTTCACGGGGCTGTGTTGTCCTGAGTGTGTAACAGCTGCATACAAATCATTTCCACTCTGTTATTCGGGGACCCACTGAGACAGATTCTGGTCATTTCTCAGTGGACAGTGGCCATGGGGACTCACTGGTAAGCTGGAGAGTGACTCCCATCACCCCTTTTCCTTTCTGTGACTTTGTCTTTCCAGCAGGCTGTTTCCACTAGGCTCTGTAGAAGCGTTAGCTAACATTTATGCCACGCTCACTTCATGCCAAGTGCTTTACTCACATGTCCTAACACAACCCTTACCCTGCCACTAAGGAGTAAAGTACTAATATCACCCTGATTTTCCAGACTGGAATACTAAAGCAGAGGATTCTAAAAAGTTGTTTCATGTCAGGCAGATGATAAGTAGTAAGGGTAGGATTTGAACCCAGGCTATTTCAACTGGCCTTCCTTTCACCAAGAAACAAGAAACACTCTCTATGAGAAGGAGTGCTTCTTGGGAGATATATAAATAGGCAAACGTATATACTTTCCCCCCTGCTTCACCCAAAGCCATCTTTTTGAAAACCTTAAGAATAGATGCATGTACCTGAGGCAGAGAAATAATTAGTGACAGTAACCCCTCTGATGAGAGCCATGTGAGACAGGGTTGTATAATTGGCAAGACTGTCAGTCTTCTCTGACTTTTGATTAAAGCTCGTACACCCCATAAAGTGTTTTTTCTGCATCTGCTTGCTTCCCTCTTTCCTCACTAGGATGGATGAAAATTATAACCTCTTGCCTCATGGAGTCAATTTCCAAGATGCCATCTTTCCAGACACTCAAGAGAACAGAAGGATGTTTTCCAGCCTTTTCCAGTTTTCAAACTGCTCCCAAGGGCAGCAACTGGCAACTTTCTCCAGTGACTGGGAGATCCAGGAAGACAACAGGGTAAGAACTGGCTGTACCCTGTGCAGCAGCAAAATAATAGAATAGCCACGTCTTGTTGGGTTTGTGACCAAAGGAGTCAAGAATATTCTTCCCAAAGCCCAGACCAGAATATTATCCTCCCTGCCAGCAGTTAAAAAACACTGCTCAGAAACTTCGGATTCCTGAGGCTTTACTGTTGGCATGGGGGTTCCTCACTAAGTGAGGGAGCGATACGAGAGGAAGGTTGGCACACTGTGCCTCAATTTCCTCTTCTGTAAAATGGACACAATTTTAGGGCTGATGTGATATGATTTCACTATGTAAAATGTATAAATCTGTAAAGCCCTTAGCGTAGTGCTTGACAGGGTAAGCACTCTACACATGTGAGCTATTGTGACTATCGTCATTATTATTGTGTGTTGGTGTTGTTATTGATAGCATAGGACTCTAAGAAATTTTCTAGGAAGAAAGAAATGTCCCTTAAGGAAATGAAATGGAATAATTATCATAGCTCATACTTCTATGATTTTTCACAGTAGTTGTTAAGGCGTAGCCAAGATGGTTGGGAAATGTAAGGCTCAGGATGATTTGGGGGATGAAACTATCAAAGGGGTCTTCCCGCCTGGGGCAGATGCCAGAGCTGTGGGGAAATTCTGAGGACTGTTACTTTCTCAAAGCAATGGCACTGCAGCAGTGTAGCTGGGATGATTGTGGAACCAGGCCAGTCCCCTGCCTGAGACTTTTAAGGAAAGGGACAGGCTGCTGAAGAGGGTCCTGCTGTGGGGATGTGGGGATCCCATGGGAAAAGGACTGTTATATGAGTTAATGAACATGTTTGGGAGCTTCCTTCCTTCCATCTTCACATGATGGGTTTGGGTGAAGTGGTCTTCCCTGTTTGGTGCATTGTCCTAGGGCAGCTTCTTTTTTCTCTTTTCTCTTTTCTTTTTTTAATTGCATGGAGCAAACATTTATTTAATTTTAATAATAAAGGCTTACACATTTTTTAAAAAGTATATTTTATTGATTTTGTACAGAGAGGAAGGGAGAGAGATAGAGAGTTAGAAACATCAACGAGAGAGAGAGAGTCATCGATCAGCTGCCTCTTGCACACCCCCTACTGGGGATATGCCTGCAAATAAGGTACATGCCCTTGACCAGAATCGAACCCGGGTCCCTTCAGTCCCCAAGCTGATGCTCTATCCATTGAGCCAAACCGGTCTCGGCAAGGCTTACACATTTTTACACAGCATTTTAATCTTTGAAAAATGCTCCAGGCTCTAAATAATTGAAATTTCTAGATTATATTCTTCAAACCATCCATATTGATTTAATGCTAACAATGTAGTTAAATGAAAACATAAACAAATTAGAAATCGCACCAAGCTCAGAACACCTCTCCGTCTTCAGACCACCCACTACCCGAGAGGGAGTACCACTGTGGCACCAAGAGGAGGCAGATGGCCCTGATTCTGTCTCTGACCAATGGGAAAACCCTTGTCAATGTGGACACCAATGTCACCTTATCACGCGCACAGGGAGATAACCTAAGCTAGAGGTGGACTACAGGGTTTCCCCCCCCCCCCCCCCACTATTATTCTCAGCATTAGGGCTGTACTCACAATATGAGACAACAGAAAGCATGGTTCAGTGGTTGAGTGTCAACCCATGAACCAGAAGGTCATGGTCCAATACCTGGTCAGGGCACATGCCTGGGTTGTGGGCTTGATCCTCAGTAGGGGGCATGCAGGAGGCAGCCAATCAATGATTCTCTCTCATTATTGATGTTTCTGTCTCTTTCTCTCTCCTTCTCCTTTCATCTCTCTAAGTCAGTAAAAGCACTATATACTTTTTTTTTTTTTTTTTACATATATTACAGCACAGGTAGATTCCTGGGTAGCAATTTCATTTCACATGGTCAGAGTTCATCAGAGATCAACACAATTCTTAGAGATTCTTTAATTTATTAGGAAAGAAGTGACTATAGAAAGTGAATGGAGAACCCTGGCCGGTTTGGCTCGATGGATTGAGCATCAGCCTGCAGACTGAAGGGTCCCAGGTTCGATTCTGGTCAAGGGCATGTACCTTGGTTGTGCAGGAGGCAGCTGATTGATGTTTCTCTCTCATCGATGTTTCTAACTCTCTTATCCCTCTCTCTTCCTCTCTGAAATCAATAAAGATATAGTAAAAAGAAAGAAAGGGAATGGAGAAAGAATAGCCAATGTTGACCTTTGTTTTTTTTTTTTTTTTTTTAAATATATTTTATTGATTTTGTACAGAGAGAAAGGGAGAGAGATACAGAGTTAGAAACATCGTTGAGAGAGAGTCATCGATCAGCTGCCTTCTGCACACCCCCCACTGGAGATGTGCCCACAACCAAGATACATGCCCTTGACCGGAATCGAACCCGGGACCCTTCAGTCCCCAAGCCGACGCTCTATCCATTGAGCCAAACCAGTCCCGGCTCAATGTTGACCTTTGGATGCTATTGTTATTGTCAGGGGAGAAGTTCTCATCCCCATCCATAACAATGGCTGATGGGAGTAGGTTTCTTGCAATATCCTGAGAAAAGGAATCTTCTAAGACTTGCATGGGAGGACAAGGTATTATAGAAAGTTTTATTCCCATTTAATTATGCCCCTGAAATTATAAGGTCCCATTTCTTTTTGTTCTACCAAGGAAGAAGTTCTATTTTTCCTAAATGGGACTAAGATCAGAGCCAGTGTCGAGAGTTTTTGTTCCATGTTGGAGCAGTGTCCAGTCCAGCATCAGGCTAGTTTAGCTTGTGTCCCTTGCTGTAGTTCATCAATCCATATATGTGGGGTCCATAGGACTACATGGCCATGGAAGGAACATAGGCAGGAGCAAAGCCAAAGGAACCAGAAAGCTAAGGTAGCCATGAGCCAAAAGCGTGGAATCTTTTGTTTGGGGGATTATTTTCACAGGCTTGTAGTGGTCCTGCCCATTCTTGCCAAGATCTCTGTTCCTAGGTTTGACTTACAGGCACCTTCCCTAGTCACCTCACCTTCACTGCACATGTGTCTACCTCCCTTTCCCCCAGTGACCTGCAGGCAATGGGCCAGTGGTTCCCTGGCGAGTGTGAAATTGTATCTTCCTAGTGAAGCTGCCCGAATGGCCATGCTTATGTCTGTCCTCCCTTTTGCTCCTTTCCTATTTTTAATAACTAGCTAATTATAATGGTATCACTATTATTTTACACTTTAGGGCCTAGAAGATCTGAGTGTCTTCTTAGGCTATCGCCCTGTGCACATGATAGGGTAGCTTCTTGTTCTTTCAAACTTCCTATCTTTTGCCCAGGGCTCCCTGGCACCTGGAGACCTTCTTCATGTGCTTGCACAGAAACTGTTAGCGCAATGGGCTGGAATCCAACTAAGGAAAATTGTTGTTTTTACTTCCGGGGTATTACAAAGAGACTCTTCCCTTAGACCTACTTTATGAACAGAATCTAGAATCCTCTAACCTCTCCTCCATGAGTCGTCAGAATTTTCTGGACACTCTTCCTATATTTTGCTTCCAACATGGTCACCAGAATCCACTCCACACTGGCCTGGACCTGCCAAGTGTAAGCCTGAGTATCCCCAGCCCGAGTCAGGTCATAGCACATTCCAAATTTAGGTTGGGCCGGCCGTGTGATTCTCCTTTTTGTAGGAGTTTTGCTTATACTCCTAGATCCCTGATAACGATAAATTAATATCAAGAGATCAGCTATTTTCCCAAAAATATCTTAGTCCCCCCCCCCCCAAAAAAAAAAAACAAAACAAAAAACAAAACACAACAACCTCTTTGGCCATACAACTCATTAGTCCTATGGTCACATAATGAAGCTATTAATGTTTCCTGGAATTAGATTTTTCCATCATCTGAAAAAGCAGAACAATAGGACTGTTGAGAATTGCTTCAATGTGAAGGCTGTCCTATTTCTGGTGGTCAGATGTCGGTCTTGGGGAGAAGTCCTTTTGGCCACTTAGATGACAAACGAAGGGCATGCTGGGTGACTCTGAGGAAGAGTCTGAAGCTTTCGGGGAGGAAAATAGTTGCTCTAGCTCCTGCATAGCTGGGCTTAGAAGTCAGATCTGATGTATTTGTACTTTTCAACTCCTCTTCAACCCCTCCTCCATTTTATCCCTGCCCACTATGACAGGCAGCACAGCAGCAATAAGTTAGCTAGCTAGTTTAGAATTTAATTTTAAACCAAAATTAAGTGTCATTTTTGGGGTCAATATTATGATTTACATTTTACGATGCTCCTTGAGAAATTTTTACGTAGTCTGCAGTGTTTAAAGTAGTTGTGAATTGATGATCTCAGAGTTGGATGAAGAATTGTGGATAATTACTTGTTCCTTTCTTCCAAAGAATGCTAACCTTTTCCTGCCTTTTCTGTGTGAAGGTGAGCATCACATTGTCCCTCTCAGGATGAATATATTATGTCAGATCCAGTCTGTGTTTTTCTCTTGGTGGTCCCACCCACCAGAAGAGCTGTTCAGGTCACATTTTTTGTTCCAGAAGGAGGAGGTCTGACACTTTTGAAAAACCAGAACACACAAATGCTTTGCATGGTCCAAGATCATTGCAAATGGCCTGGGTGTTGCACACTATACACCTTTCATGTATTACGTGCCGTATCTTAGATTACAAGATTGGTGAGTTCTTGGGCTTTCTAGTGTTTATGCTGTTGCTCTCAGCTTCCAGTCAGCTCTGACAGTGATCTGGCCTGTGGTTGGGAAGGATCTTTTATTTTCTTCACTGATAGTTCTCACTTTATCTATCGTGGGGAGAGGGGTGTCTGAGAATCTGCAACTCTGGAGTCAGTCCAGAGGTTAAGCAGTAGAGGAGGAAAGAGTGCATAGGGGAGCTTTTGTGATGTCCACCCAGGGCCACATTCACCTCATCCTCAGCAGCAAAATCTCCCCCTATCTGGTCCCACCTTCAAGCATCCCACCCGAGCCTCAGTAATTAGAAACATACTCTTTCAAGAGTCGCCAGGACGTCAGCAGTGTTCCTGA